TTTTTTTTTTTTTCTCAACTAGGGTGGCTGCAGCCAATTGTTGGCGACGAAACAAAAGCTTTCTGCTCGCATTGTAAGGTCACTTTAGTCGCACACAAGAAGAGTTTGCAGGAACATGCCACATCGAAGAAACACCTGCAGTCTGCCAACAAGGAACGTGAGATTGTCAATTTACCAAAAATTGATCGATTCGCAAAAGTGACTCTCACAGAGAAACGAAAAATTGCCGAGCTCAAAATCGCGACGTACGTGGCGGAGCATTGTTCGATAAAAAGCGTCGATCATCTGTCGATGGTGATTAAAGGTCTCGACGAAGACTCGACAGTTTTGCAGGACATTAAGCTTCACCGCACCAAGTGCTCAGCTTTGGTAAAAAACATTCTGTCGCCATGCATTTTGCAAGAGCTACTCGAAGACGTTTGCGACAGTCACTTTTCGCTTATTATTGACGAATCGACGACAGTGGATACCAAAAAGGTTCTCTGTATTATGATCCGGTATTTCAGCAAAACGAAAAAAAAAATCGTAACAACGTTTTATAGATTAATTGAGATGGAAGCCGGAACATCGGATGCTATTTCACACGCAGTGCTGAATCAATTAAAGATCGATGGCCTTCAGCCAACAAAGTTAATCGGTCTTGGAGTCGACGGTGCAAGCGTAAATGTCGGAAGACACCATTCGGTGTCAACGTTATTACGCGAGGTAAACCCAGAGCTCATTATAATAACATGCATTTGTCACTCACTGCATCTCGCCGCGGAACAAGCCTGCAAGACGTTGCCAAGGCATATGGATTTTTTGGTACGGGAAACCCACCTTTGGTTCACCCATAGTACCAAAAGACAAATTGCATATGCAAAAATTTATCAAACGCTTTCAGATAAATTGCCAAAAAAAATTGTTAAAATGTCCGATACGCGTTGGTTAGTTCGACTTCAGGCTGTTGAAACAATATTGGAGCAATGGGATGCGTTGAAACTTCATTTCCAAATCACTGAAAGTAACGACGAGCGCTGTTATATAGCGTCTCAATTGCACGCAATGTACGCCACACCCGAAAACAAGCTATTTCTAACATTTCTCGCCAATAGCCTGAAAGGTGTTGTAGGACTGAATAAGTTGTTTCAGTCTCAGAACGTTGATCCCGTCAAACTTTTCGAAGACCTTAACAATCTGATGTACAGTCACCTGCAAACCATCGTTGTACCATCTCAACTACAGAAAGTATCGCGCTATGAACTCGGGACCTTTGATTTTCTTCAACACTTAATGAGCTTGCAATGTGTAAATTTCGGATACGATTCCAACAGTCTTGCTTCGAGCATCAAGCCTGAAACGCTGGTCAATATTAAAGAAAGATGCAGGAATTTTTTAATCACATTGTGCCAACAATTGCAAAAAAGATTGCCCGAGAATATAAAAATTCTCGAAAAACTGTCGACTTTTTCGCCGAACGTAGCTTCATCTCAAGTTAAAGTCGATATCACTGAGATAGCAACCAAGCTTAAAGCCAGTGTGTGCACTGACATCGACAGTACTGTGAAGGAATGGAATCTTCTTCACACTGCCAAAGTTTTGAACCTCCAAAATACCGAAGATTATTGGGCCGAGATTTTCGACATTAAAAATGCTGGCGGACAAAAACGGTTCGGTAATATTGCGCAGCTCGTACTTGCTCTGTTGTGCTTACCGTTTTCGAACGCTTCGGTCGAACGAGCTTTTTCAATATTAAATATTGTTAAAGACAAACTGCGCAACAGAATGTCAATTGCAATGGTAGAGGCAATAATGCACGTCCGACTCACGCTTGGAGTCGATTGCCGCGATTTCAAGCCTACGGTTCTCATGCTCAAACGTTTCACTTCTGAAAATGTTTATAACAACATCAATGATAGTGACCTCGAAGTCCTTAATGTTTTCCCCAGTGATGAATTTTGATACGAATCAGTATCTTCATCGCAAACAGTCATTAAAAGTCGAGAGCATCCATGACTAATTGATATTCTTCTCTATGTATTTTTTTTCCACTTATGATACGAATATATGTGATAATTTCTATAAAAATGTTATTTTGAAAAATAAAACTAATATTCTCCGTTAAATATATTTTTAATTCATTTTATTTTACTCGTTATTATGTATAATTCTATTTCAAGGCGTATGTTTCGGGATTTAGAATTATATATTTTCGTGATTTGAATTTCGTGCTTCAGAAAGTAGGCGAGCAGGCGAGTGGGGGCATTCAGGGGATTTTTGGGGGGAAACTGAGCGACGCTAGGGGGAAGGCACGGAGACCGTCTGGCAACACTGGCGCGACATTGAACTAGAAACACCACAGCCGAGATAACTTCCGCGGTCGACCGTAATGCTCTCCATTGTTTCTTTAATGGGTTTTAGGTACAATTTTATCAAGTAAGTCGCTTGAAAAGGAGGAGCATAATATTTCTTTCTTTTTTACCAGACTGCGTGACGCAAGCTGCGTTTTATTGTTATGCGTAGAGAGATTAGTCAACCGATCAAGATGATTCTTTTATATTATACTTAATGAGTTTTCTACCTATAAGATTCCATATACTTAAAAGTGGGGATCTGATAAATGCTTTCAGAGATAAGCATTTGATGGACCTCCTCAATGACAAACAGTAAAAATAGATATAAGTTACTACTTGGTTTGGCAGGATAGACTCCGAAGGTAGTTTTAAGTAATTTATTCTAAATGTATTATAGCTTTTTAAGTAAAGAATAAAGGATAAAGTATGATTACTTAATAGTCTTTATTTAGTACGACTATGCAGTGAGTCATTGACAAAGCATCTACTCAGCTCGTTTTGTATGTATGAAGACATTAAAAATAATATTTATTTTAATAATAATATTTATGCATGTTGATAGACCTGAGTTGCCATAAAATTTGTAAATAATCAATGAGCACCAACCACCGACACCAAATATTAATTTGACTTTAAATGTAGGTTTATATATCGTTGGATTATTTACATTACATTCGTTCGTCTACCCGTTTTAAATAACCAACTTACTGCACTAATATCATACATATTTTATTTCACTGTATCGTAATCATAGATAATTTAATCAGCTAAATTTTTTTTTGTTTAACTTCTGGATTTCTATACACTGTTCTTCATTGCAATGTGAAGTGGATTGAGTGGAAACGACTTCAACATAGTAATACGTCTTAAGAAGTCGACTCTACATAAAATCTTTCAAAGTAATAAAGTTGCGCTACCGCAAAAAATTAGTACCTATTTAAAACTGCTCAAATATTGATGAAAATTATTCAACCTTGTAATTAATATAAAAAAAAATATTAGCACTGGTGAAAAAATTAGACAACAGCGTAGTTTCCTAGCATTACTCCACCTACGAGGATTGTGTAGCTTCTAACATTTCCTCGTAGCTAAAAACTGTACGAATAGATGGACGTCATCGACGTTTTACTTGTCATACTTGTGTTATAGAAGCTTCAGTGCGCGTGTACGAACGGTATGCAAATCAAATCGACTTTTTAATATTTTGTGTGGAAAACTGAACAGATATGTATGATGCGAAACTTGTCAGTCAAACGGATCAAGGCTCCCGTGTTCTTTTGTTTCGCGTCTACATAACAGTTACTTACAGAAAAAACAATAACACTTTAAAGTAGAAATCATGTACCATTATCAGTAAGTATCGTTTATTTTAACTCGGACTTTTACTCGCATTTTATATCAACGTATCACATTTATATCATAGAAATTAAATAAATGTTAATAAACTACAATACGTAGTATAGTTGAATAGTGATCATGGAGCAAATATTTGCTTCATGATAGTGATATTATTAAACTTTACAGTTAATCAATCGGTTCTGTAGTAGATCACGGATGTAACGGAGGTAAATTTATCGGAACCGAAGTCGGAGTCGGAGTTTTTAAATTTGATTTATCGGAGTCGGAACCGAAGGCGAAGGCAGGGTCAGAAGTGGTGGCAAGAGAGAGATTTTTCATTTAAGAACTAATGAAAACATCATTCAGTCCTTTTTTAATTTTTCATAAAAAAATAACCTTTTTTGATTTAAAATTTACTTATTATTGACACAGACTCCCATCGCGACGGATATGAACCAGTTCGAACGGTCGACACAAGCCGCCGTCGTTTAAAAGTTTCGGAGCCGAAGTCGGAACCGAAGGTGTAATAATAATCGGGAGTTCGCCTTATCGCGGAATCGGAGTCGAAGCTCCGTAACATCCCTGGTGTGGATTGCCCGAACAATTGAAATTCGAAATAAATACCGAGATAAACATGGCACCAACGAAAATATCAAAGCATGTCAAGTTCAATCAATACATAAATCCACTTTAATTCAGAACGTCATTTATTTCTAACATTCTTCATCAATTTCCAACAAATGAAAACTCAACACAAAAATGAAACTTAATACCTACGACAGTACAATATATTATTATAGTATCAACCATTACCGATTAATGAGAAAATTGATCGTTTCAAACCTAAAAAGCATGATTAAAGCATGTTGACAAGTTGAGTGCTGTTTCAATGCTACGATAGTTCAAGGCTCTGAACATGACTCCGTCAAGTGTCATGATGACATCAATAAATCAAACTAATCGCCTCATTTAATTGAAAAGTTATCTTAGACGCCGTCAAGTCAAATATGCAAGTTGTATCTTTCCCACATTTTCTTGCAAGGCTAACTCTTTCCGGACTTCAAATATGTAATTAATCGCATCAAATTGAAAATCTTTTGTAACTTTGTTGTAACAGCTCGATGTTAAAATATAAAGAATATTGTAGTAGAAATTTTACGCTCGGTCCAGATTTCAGAAGGGATTCGAACCCGCATCTCCCGCTATCCGAGCGGACGCACCAACCGCCCCGATAGCGGAAGATGCGTACTAAAATTTTCTTTAGATTTACAACAAGAAATATTGAAATTGATCATAGAGAAGTGTTCAATATATGAGGTTAAAATGTACCTGGAGGCCAGCGGCGGTCGTCAGCTGACACGAGATCCACTCCATCGAACAACTTCTGCGCGAACTCTTCGATGGATTCAGAATCGGGAAGGCGGCCGGAGATGCCCGTCAACACGATGTCATTGGCGGCGGCTGATTTCTCTCCGTTTACTGTTGCGCTCGGCATTTTGAGTTTTCTTTGTTCACTATCTGTAACGAAGCAATCACTCGTGTTCAATGCACTGTCGTAGCGAAGACAGGGTCTCGAGTGAGCCGGGAGCTGCAGTCACCTGGTGATACGAAGGCACTGCGTCCAGGGGACACTTTGATGCTCGACGTCGAGCGCTATGAGTCCCGAGTGGCGGGACGAGAGGTTGCCGCGGACGAGTACGCGAGCGGAATGCTGCCGCGGACGAAGAACATCCCGTTAAAAGAGTGTGATAGCAGGGTCGAGGTCGCGCGGGTTATCGCACAAGGACGAGGAAGGTCGGCGAAAACGCTCTCTAAGATGCTATCCATATAACACTCCACATTGTACGCACGGCTTACGAAGACGGAGATTTCGGATACATTATTTTTTTTTATTTTTTGCCTAGGGTGAAAAGTGCATCGACCCTGAGATAATATGAGATATTTTTAATTAGGTACCTACTTCCGGGTACCAAAGATTTTTGCACACGGCATCTAATGACGATGCTAGCCTAAAGGCCTCCGTCTGTAATCTCATCTATTAGAATATTGCAACTGCAACAGCTGTTGCATCAAAGTTATTAATATCTTTAGTTCCATCGGTTGATCTCGCCAGGCGATTACGACAAATTCGCAATTGTCCGATTCGACCTCAACGCGATTATCTAAACAGCCGTTGATTTTGTGACCTCTCGTTCGAAATACGTAAACAGACAGCGCGCGATCACGCGCGGCGCACAGCTCGCGCCCGCGCCGCCCAATCTCGCGCACGTCAAGCGCTCTCGACACTCCAACGTGTCGCACGCGTCCCACTCACTCCCGTGTCCCGTCAACTCCCGCCCCACTAATCTATCGACCCGTCTAGGCTTGCCAGGCTTTAGCCGGACACGTTTGGCTTTTTGCGGTCGCGTCCGGCCAAATATGTACGTGTTTGGCCTATCCGGCTTTTGTCAGGCTTTTTGTCAGAGTGGCGATTCGTACGAAGATGGGCGGACGAGCGTCGGAGCGGACAAGAGAGCAAACTGTTTGCGCGCGCGGCGCGTGACTACCCCGCCCAGCTGTCTGATATCTATACTTATAATAAATCCGTAGAGAGGTCAATTCTGTACATGAAATATATTTTCGAAATAACTATCAGGGGGTGATTAGTGATCGATACTGATGCCAAAAATGCAATCAGTAAAATTTTTGTCTGTCTGTCTGTCTGTGTGTATGTTCCTTATAGAAACAAAAACTACTCGACGGATTTTAACCAAACTTGGTACAATTATTCTTCATACTCCTGGGCAGGTTATAGTATACTTTTCATCACGCTACAATCAATAGCAGCAGAGTAGTGAAGGGAAATGTTGGGAAAACGGGAGAAGTTACTCCATTTTTTAAGCTTCCGTCGCGTGTGCAGCCTTAATGGTTAAAGTTACATAGAAATCATGTATGACGAAAATATTCTACATAAAATTGTCTAAAAAATATCCCGCAACAGCATATGTCTATATTTTATGGTTGACTCACAATAACACGTGTAATTATATAAATAAAGTCATTGTTTATAGCACAAGCCTGAGAACAAAAACTATAGTTTACACTACAGCTCTACACCGAAGCGGAGCGAGGGCGGGCCACTAGTTATAAATATGGCTCCGGCTTTTAGGCAAAATGTCAGGCCTTATATAGTGCGCAGTCCGGCCTTTGCATTTTATGGCCTGGCAACCCTAGACTCGACCGACAACGACAAGCTCGTCTCGCACGCGTCCCACCCACTCCCGTGTCCCGTCAACTCCCGCCCCACTCCTCTATCGGCCCGACCGACAACGACAAGCTCGTCTCGGTCTCCAAATTACTTTTTGTGTTACTTTACTACACACCACCCACCGCGGATTATGCTGCGGGGTTCATTATTAGGGTTCCGCGGCCAAAGCCCAACCTCTGTCATTGTTCTGTGGTCCAACCTCCAGGCTAGGTACCTGACGGGCATTTTAATTCGAGCGGCTTAATCGCTGTGTTTTACGTCACAAAGGAGGGAGTTAATGTTGATAGGAATGACTAACTAGAGCCCGTATGAGACTACGATCTTGAGATACTGTTTTCATACAAAATAGCATCTCAAGATCGTACTCAAGATAGCCCTCAAAGTTGATAGCGATGCTGTTATATGTTTGGACATTACCGCGTTCAACCAAAAGAACCGGCGAGTGAGACTTGCGCATCGAGGGTTCCGTACAAACTCAATTTAATACCTCTACGCGTTCATGAGAAAAGTAACTTTAAAATTTACAAAAATATTTCTTTAAATTTTGCTCTAAGAGATCTATCTTCTCGTGGCTCTCGTGTGTCGTATTAGTAACGTATAGGTGCTGTCCGACAGTCTGTGTTGCCGCGGGCGCGGCCGTGCCGTACTGGGTTGCTAAACGTATAAGAACTCTTAACGTTTGAGATTTAGCAGCCTCTATACATGATACGAGGTAAATAGAAATCTTGTATAAACTGTTATTTGTAAATATTTAAATGTGTCTTAATAGACTATTGACTAATGTCAATGTGTGTTAAATTTGGACAAGCTATTACTTTTAGTAAAGCTTAGCTACTACAAAGGTGCTTTAAGCATCTATGTAAATTGCTAATAATTTTTATTGTTTAAAATTATTTAATAATTTAACATGGTTAACCTAATTTGTTTCTTATATTTTCACGCACACCAACCAATTAAAACAGTGACCGGATATGAAGCGTGTTTAATAAATTTCTGGTAAGATAGGAAAATATAATTCGAAACGTTTTGGATCCTTTTCATGATTCGTAGAGTCAATTATTATAAACTACTAGCTGTCCCAGCGAACTTCGTACCGCCATAAAAAAAATAGGGGTTGGTGGTAGAAGGGTGGTTGTATGTATTTTTGTATGATGTATCATAAAAAATTAAAAAAAATATATCTAAAATTGAAAAAAAAATAGGCGTGGATTATCCTTAAAATTTAGGGGGATGAAAAAAACAGTCTGTCAGCTCATTTTCGTTTGATTGTCCTTTCGGAAACTGTATTTATTCAATAAAATAAATTGTCGTGGAAACACGTATGCACTTGTATCATGTGCGGACTGTATTAACTGTTGTAGAAATGGCTCCTTTGTCTAAAGGACATTGCTCGTTCCCCATACATTGAATGCCCTAGAACGCACAGCAATGAGAAAATGCTAGTTGTGTTCGGAATCATTCATAAACTCTAATTAGGCATTTGTTGGGATACGGATAACTTGAGGAACCGTGGCCTACTACAGAATGTATTAGATTTGGAGGTTATAATAATTATACTTAATCGTAAAAGATGTACACTTTATATATTCTGAATAGATTTAGTGTTTACCTCTATGTAAGCACTTACATAATATGCATTAAATGAACATAAAATGCAATTAATAATAAAAATAATAAATGCTTATATTGAGAGAGAGAGAGAGATTTATGAGTGTTGGAAGTTGGCACCTATGATCCTATCCTACCTGTTGTAATAATAGATTTCTTTTCAAATAAAATTTTCAGTCTTTCCATTTACCTGTTTCTATATTTTACTATCGGTAATAAAGTATGTCATAAAAATAAACAGATATTATATGGGATGGGAGTATAAACTATCTTTACATACTTTCAGAAGTAATCTTTTCATAAATATAAATACTAGTGATAAGTATTATTAACTAAGGTTTTGTTAAAAGCCCCTAAAAAAACCCCCAAAAAATTCCAGCCCCTAAAACAGTCCGTTTTAACCCTTCTAGCCCCTAAATCTGGGGGCAAAACCCCTAAGTTGGGAACCGTGTGTCTTTGGTTGGCTGGATGTAATCCACGCGCTCCAAACGCGGATGGAAACACCGAAACACGCGCCCGTTATCCAAGGACGTTGAAGGTCAAATCAAAATTTGGATTATCATTCGTCTAGATGGATGGACACGGGCAACGTCACCTTGGTTGGTACGCTGGATTACATCCGTCTAGAATAGGTGTAAGCCTATGCTAGACGGATGTAATCCAGGATCCCAACAACTTCTCGGGTCTAGCTGATTATTTTATCGTAGTTTTAGGTGTCATAAAATCACACCCGTTCATAAAACCGGCCAAGTGCGAGTCGGTCTCGGCTCACCACCGCACGAGCAACTTAAAATAGGTACAACGATTGTTGGTCAAACAAATTTTTCTTTCATTACCTAACATCTATTTCCATGTTCTACTAAGTTTAATTTATTGTTTGCCTTTACAAAGTGTTTGTGTATTTTCTTTGTGTTCTGCTCCTGAAGTAGGTAATATCGTTTACAGCATCACGCAATATGGAAATATAGATTTATAAAATTAATACCTCTGTCAAGGTTTTTAGTTTTGTCAAGGTTAGGTTCGAATAGGTATGAACCTAAATACTAACCGAAAATAACTTTCAGTAGAGTCCTTACAGAGACTCAGACCTTATCTTCTATACTTATAATAAATCTGTAGAGATGTCAATTCTGTACATGAAATATATTTTTAAAATAACTATCAGGGGGTGATTAGTGATCGATACTGATGCCAAAAATGCAATCAGTCTGTCTGTCTGTCTGTGTGTATGTTCCTTATAGAAATAAAAACTACTCAACGGATTTTAACGAAACTTGGTACAATTGAGGAGTCTACTTTCAAAATCCACTAAAATCTTTTTCAGAAAATATAAGCTAGCAAAAAAAAACATCTCATTTTAAATAAAAGGTCAGTTTAATTAAAGTAAGCATCATACATTTTTAATTTGTGCTTTATAAACACTTTTACCATGATTTACCAAGGAAAAACGGTTTTTAACGGATAAAGATCTAAAATAATTTTGTTTTTAGTGGGTTTTGATGAGAAACTTTGATTATAGCGGTATTTGCAACGACTATTATAAATTTTGGCGGGTTTTGATTTGAATAGATTTTGACGTATGGATGGTTTTATCCTACATGCTTGAGTTAAAATAATCCACTGTGTAGATATTCTTATGTAAATGTTAAAGTTAATGTTTGTTAAAATATTTTTTTGGTACTACCTGGTACAAACCCATAATAACAAACAAGGAATTATTTTATCAAACATTAATTATTAAAAAATCATAGGTACATTTCAACTTGCAAATTAAGTTCTTCCCCAACATGCTCACACATATTTTCTTCATCAACTACTTTTTTATGAAGCAACATAATTGATGCACGTGCGTTTGATAATTTTTGAAGAAATAATATTTTCACAACACATGAAGAAAAAATATTTGCCCCCTAGCTTTGCAAACTTCAATGTTTTAAAACAACACAATTTTATTAATTGGTGCCATGTACTGTGTTGGATCCTACGCCTTCACCCATCATCGCACCATTCTGCATAACACCTTTTAACGGACATAACCAAGTTGATCACGTGATTTGAATCCTGTGCTGTGATTGGTCCGCGCATTTTTGGCGGATTATAGTGAAGTTTGCAACGAATACGAATTTTAGATCACTGTTTTTTTATAGAATTAAGCGGATTTTGCAGCAAAATATTTCGTGGATATGAATAATAAATATTCAGAAATATTTTGAAAGACTTAACTATTTTATAGCCAAAAACCGTTTTAGCGGGTTTTGAAAGTAGACTCCTCAATTATTCTTTATACTCCTGGGCAGTTCATACTTTTCATTACGCTACAATCAATAGCAGCAGAGTAGTGAAGGGAAATGTTGGGAAAACGGGAGAAGTTACTCCATTTTTTAAGCTTCCGTCGCGGGTGCAGCCTTAATGGTTAAAGTTACATAGAAATCATGTATGACGGAAATATTCTACATAAAATTGTCTAAAAATATCCCGCAACAGCATATGTCTATCTTTTATGTTTGACTCACAATAACACGTGTAATTATATAAATAAAGTCATTCTTTATAGCACGAGCCTGAGAACAAAAACTATAGTTTACACTACAGCTCTACACCGAAGCGAAGCGAGGGCGAGCCACTAGTTACCACATAAAGTTAGTCACGTGTTCAACACGATCGAAACAGCGTCTAACTTTTTCGTAGTTAGCCCGTCTAGAGTCTAAGGTAAATAAAACATCTATAAAATAAAGCCATAAAATTAAACATTTTAATAAAACATCTATAAAATAAAGCCTAACCCAGGTTTAGGATGATGAATGTTAATCTACCGAGCTCGACTAAATCCCAAAATATCCGCTTGGGCTCCCCTACTATAAGCAATATTCCGGAATAGCAAAATCCCAGAGCAGCAGAAGGACAGATTTCCATAAAGGCAGAAGTACAGACCCACACAGAAAGCAAAAAATAATTGAATAGTTACATTTCATAAAATTTTATTTGAAAATCTTATCGAAACATTCTGTTGCAGAAATGTTGACATTGAGTAAGCTCGTTCAATTTTTGTATCCTTGTGTTATGAATAAATTTCTTAACTATTTAAGACAATTAAAAGTGGCCATTTAGGTATATAATGCACATAGCATAATAGGTCACAAATTGATAATAAGGTTAATAGGGTTTGTATCTTTTTTAAGGACGACATCGTCAGTATATTATATGCCTTTATGAAAATCTGTCCCTATGCTAATGTGGGATATTGCTCGTTCGTCCGTCCTACTGCTGCAGAGTGATAGGAGAGGAGATATCGAACCCACACGGTTCGAGTCCAGTCTGCTGCCTGGACCGCGTAGAATTTTCTTTAATCTTGTTTTAAAATTGAAAAATTAAACGGAATATATGTCATATATGAAATCTCGCTTTTTAGGCCGTAGGCTAGGATTTCGTTGTCTAATAACTACCGTTCATTAGTAACTTATTCAAATAAACTCCATATTATTTGATATCGTAGCGTGAATTAGTAATGACATGGAGTGAAGTCACTGTGCTGATATAAGCGTCAAAAGTGGCGTTATGTGGCAACGATACGTTGTTATGTGGACACAGGCCAGCGCGACGCGCCGCCGCGGCCGCCGCTACCGCCGCACGCAATGGCTCCTTTGTATGTCAATTGTTGAGGCGGCCTCACCAGATTGCCTTTAACTGCCTTTGAGGATCTCCAACGCTGGTACATTTATGATATTGGTAACTTTAGGATCGACATATCGTCGTAAATGAAAAAGGATCAATGATCGCCGCACGGTTTTCGAACCTAAGTTACACACGCATAAATCGATATTTTACTAGACTAAATATATACCTAGATTCTGAGTGGTTTTATCGAACGGCTATTATTCCATAAGAATATCTTATACCAAAAAAAAAAATGCCTATAAACAGACCCTTGTACACCAAAACAATGTTGCAGCGCAATTTTGGGATAGGTAGATCTCGTATTATATCGTGATTTAAGACCAGGTAAATAAAGATGACAATGTTCTTGATTGCAGAGAGTACTATGAAATAAGGGCAGATAATCTTATATTTTTGTTTTATCTCAACTGTCGAGACAAATATCTCGACCTATGCATAGAATAAAGTTACATATGAAAATGTTACCAAATTGCTTTTATTGTACTTTTAGGCGAAACGGACGCATATGTTTTACTGGTAAAAACATTTATTCTAAAACTTATTTAACTTTGAAGATAG